ATAATCATACAATTTCAGAAAATTTGGTATATAACCCTCGTATTATAGTATTTTGGCATGAACCTGAGCTAACAAGGATACAGGCTATTTTTATTTATGCAAAAGGCTTTATAAAATTCAATCAACTTTTCAGATTTTCGTTCGACTTGCATTACAGCCTCAATAAATTACTAATGTATACCTAAGCCAGTTTGCTAAAAGTTAAGTTTTCTTATACCCATTCTGTCGTGTAGCAAAGCAGTGGGAATCACAGAAATAGAGTTATGAATCACACTGCCAGTAAAATACGGAATAATATTGTTAGGGGGGCCTTCATTTCGAATGAAAGTGCATAAAGAAATGATTCGTTGGTCGATCTCGCCAGATGAGGACGGATGAAACTCGTTGTACTGCAGTCTTTTGGCTTTTATACGATATTCTACGAGACTTCCTCCCTCGTTTTGGGTGAAAACGTGCTGAGCTTTTGTCCATCATATGATGGACATCATCAGAGCTGGGTGTCATTCTTGTAAAAATCTCACATTAACAATATTCGGTTCTATCTTACTTCTTATATAGACTCAATCGAGCCAAAAAATTAAAAATTAAAAACCTAGATAGATCGATATAGAGTGGTATGGTTAAGTTCCTATCATATTGACCCTGTTATTTTTGCTCAATTGTATGAGTATGTATGTTTGTGCGTGTTAGCGTCTATATACAATACGATTCCTAAATCAGACTTGTAAAAGATTAAATCTCAGGTTCTGATCGCCAAGATCTTGAGTCTAAATAAGAAGTAATATAGAGCCGGATAGTGTTCTTGCTTTAGTGTTAACGTAAGACTTTTATATGATGTCCATCATATGATGGACGAAAGCTCAGCACGTTTTCACCCGAAACGAGGGAGGAAGTCTCGTGGACTGCGTCAACATGAATATCGTATAAAAGCCAAACGGCTGCAGTACAACGATCTGGTGAGATCGACCAACGAATCTTTTCTTCATGCACTTTCATTCGAAATGAAGATCCCCCTAACAACGTTATCTAAGGAGATTCCAACTTTCTCTTCGTATCTACGACTAATATTGACTTGGATATTATTCTTCTAAATCGTAATTCATTCATCCATAAAGAAGGAAATTTTGTGACTATCGCTATTGGATGGGATGCAGTTTGCATTTTAAAAGCCCTATTCTTCTGGAAATGATCCAAATTTTTCTGTCAAACTAAGCACCGCAACATAAATAAATACTCACATTAAGGAACATCTGTACTTAGAGCTTAACTTTCCCCATAGTGCATCTTCTTCGCGCAGAGCATGATCAACTCAATCATAAAAATGCCCCTACATGCATTTGTGCCTAGAGCTCGTTGAAGAGAGTTATACTTTTAGCTTAAAAAGCACAGTCCTTATCAATAATGTGCATACTGGTTATCAGCTTCTCGATTCTTTTAAACGTAATAGCAGGTGAGAAAATAGGCTCAAGTCCATGGAAAAACCTTACGTCGGTTTACCTTAAATCTGAACTATGAGAGCACTGGTGTACCGATTGATTACCGAAGGTGGGGGAAAAAGGTATGAATGGATGCATATATATCTTTTTACGGGCTAGCTAAAGTAATGGATGGACGAAAGAATGGACAAGTGAGTTGATGAAGGAGTGGTTTGATTGAATATTTTAAAGCAGGAACAGCTAAAGGATAGGTAAAATTAAAATATGACTATGCTTTCTATATATTTACATTGTTACTTCGAAATATACAGTATTAACCTGTTCATTTGTGATTGTTTTAATTTCGAAACGAATGCTCAAATTCATAAGTGTGCCTTGTGAATATACTTTTGGAGGTAATTAAAACATTGCAAAATATGCTTTAGTCTCTCACTCCTATTGGCTGAAGCTCAATGTGCATAAAGGACGAAATTATAAAGTAGCTGATGGAAGGAACGCAAATTAAGGTTCAATCTGAGATCCTCGAATATAAGTATGCTATATGGCCTTAAAAGAAAACAGATTGACATCACTTTACTATTTCTCCGGCGACGTCGAAATTGACTCATTCCATTTTCAGCTGGGCTTTCATATTAGACTTAAACTGATATGGAGACAGCTATAGGAAACAACTCTGATGCTCACCATGAGCTTATTCTTGTCGCGTGGCGATTTAAAGAATTCAGCATCTATGTGACAGTAATGCTGTTTTTAAGCATAGTCATTGTGCTGCGCATTTTCTTCCATCGTATCCCCTTGCTCTCAACCTATCTGCCCGAGTCTTTGATTCTAATTGCTGTTGGCGCCGTCTTTGGGGCCATAATCAGGTTCACTGAGCTCGAGATCCGTCACCCCTCGACATGGCAGCTGTCACCCAAACTATTCTTCGAGATCCTGCTGCCACCGATTGTACTCAAATCCGCCTACGAACTTCACAATCGAGTGTTCTGCGAGTTCCTTGGTGTGATTATCATATTTGCTGTCGTTGGCACTATACTTAACTTCCTTATTATTGGACCCTGTATGTTTCTACTCCAAAACATTGGAGCGATGGGCTCCCCGGCGCTTGGGGTCGACATAAAGGACTGCCTGTTGTTCAGCTCTCTCATCATCGCCGTTGATCCTGTGGCAGTGATTGCCATCTTTCAGGACATCGGTGTCGACCTAGGTCTTTTCTACATGGTGTTCGGTGAGTCCTTGCTCAACGATGCCATCACAGTGGTGCTATATCAAATTATGAAAGTTTTCGTCACCAAAGAAGAGGTCGCCGCTCCCGAGATTGTGATCGCTTTCGTCTCCTTCTTCACAGTCAGCCTAGGAGGGCTTTGCATAGGGATAGTTTTCGGCGTTCTCACCTGTCTGATCACCAGGTTTCCGAGTTCCATGGAGGTGATTGTAGTAATTATGATGGGCTATTTCTCCTACATTATGGGCGATACAGTGGGCTGGTCCGGAATCATCTCGATGGTCGGCTGTGGTCTGGTACAAGCCTCATATGCATTTCACAATTTGCAGCCGTCCAGTGTGATGATTGTCAAGCGGGTAACGCAGATCTTGGCCGAGCTTAGTGAAACCATAATTTTTCTCTTTCTTGGCGTCGAGCTCTATCGTGACGACCTCGTGTGGCACAGTGGATTTGTGCTATGGTCACTGGTAATGTCGCTACTCACGAGGCTCTTGGTGACACCCTTGCTCACTTTGCTCATCAACCTGACTCGCGAAACGCCAATCTCATGGACGGAGCAGCTGATTCTTGTCTACGGAGGCGTTCGTGGGGCTGTCTCCTTTTCCCTGGCTATGCTGATCGAGGCAAGTAGTCTAGCAGACGGTGAGCAAGGCGCTCGGATACGCGGTGTCTTCATTACGGCAACCTTGTTCGTCATTCTCTTCGGGCTCTTCATAAACGGAGTGACTCTCAAGCCTATGATCCGATTGTTGAAGATCAGGCTTCAAGTAGAACCAGATGGAAGCATGTTCAACCAACTGAATCTGGAAGCTATAGATTACCTTCAAGCGGGCGCCGAAATTATTGCCGGTGTTTGTGGTCAACGCTCGCTGGCACGATTTTGGGAACACAGAGTGAATGAAAGATACCTTCGAAGATTCCTGCAACGCTGGCCGCATGTACACGCCAGAAATCGACTAGTAAAAGCCTACCAGATTGAGCTTATTCGGCAGCATCTGATTCTGAGGCCTGTGGACAAGACAACCAGCAGAGTTAGCGTCCCCAACCTTTACACCATTTTCACCTCCTCAGCCAGTACGAACGGGGTGCTTGAAAGATGTTCAACAAGTGGAATCGGGTCTGGTAATAGGCACAGTTCACTAATACAGAATGAACTGCAAGCTTGGCTGGAAACAGAGATCACTCAGGCACACATGAGCTACTCAAAGCGCGCAGGTGGCCAACGACCTCCAGAAGATTCGGGCCACGGAGCTTTGAGCCGGACCGTCAACCCATCGGATCCTCAAAATCTTAGGGGTTCATCAAACCCGGCTTTTTATCCAGGACCATTCGATGATCTAGACCCTGAGAAGCTGAGTGGAGGGCTAGGAGTTTGCCCTTGGAAACAGCCAAAACGAGCCAAGCGCAAATTCCGCCTTGCTAGACTCTAAAGATAACTGACTTTTGACACTTTTCAGCTAAGCAGGCCCACACAGATCTCTGCCTATTTGTATATAAATAATGCATTTCTTTACCAAATAAGAGGCCAAGAGTAACTATGACCAAAAGGCTCACAATGTTCGTGATTGTCTTCTACATCCAATAGCAACTCACTGGCAACTCACTCCCTAGTAAAGAGTTCAATATTCGATTAATTATTTTGTTCTAAGCCATAGTGTCTTTGATAATTTTCTTTCAATTCCGGCTTACTTGAACAGCTAATTGTAAAAAAATCATATTGTAAGGCACTAAATTGTAGCTAAATATGGAAGCAACGTCTAAGCAGATAAAGATTATACATCTTTTTTTCCAATACACCATGATCTGCAGTATTCTACAATTGTTAAATAAACTATTGGATAATTTTTAACTGATTCTAGGATAGAATGACAAGGAAAATGAAATGTATATTACTAGTCAATATTCCAGTAATTTTAATTAGGGTATCATGTAAAACGCAGATATAATTATCTAATATAGTCACAGGGAATATTCAATTTATACGAAGAGTAACTGGGTCTCGATGAATCTCATGAGATAACATTGTTTGGCGGATTTTCATTTCTTATGAAAGTGCATGAAGAAGATATTCTTAGGTCGATTTCACCATAAGTGGACAGATGAATCCCGTTGTATTGCCGCCGTTTGGCTTTTATACGTCGTCCTTACCCTTTATGGATGTTATCATCATTAGAGAAGAGGGTGTTTAAAGAAGCCCTCACACTTTCTTCTGTTGTGCCATCTTTTAGAGAGAAATATGATCCATTTTCGAGATCCAGCCGCTACACGATTGTATGCTCCTGTGGTCGACGTTATGTTGGTGGGACATGCCGACCTATTCGACAACGACTGGGGGAACACAAAAATGCTAGTAAAAGAAGCTTGGTTCAACGGTCAGAAGTGCCGAAAACATGGTAGAAAGTGGACATTAAATAGAACGGTTTAGTAGGTTTGCCGATTATGGTACGTCTGCTGTTAAAACAAAGATAAGAGAGGCTGTTAAAGTTAAAAGATTAGGGACTACTTTGAAAGTGAGGAACGGAGGTATAAAGTTGAGTAGAAATTACTTATGCTTGATTGATAGATTGAAGGAGAAAGAGAATGTTGAGTCGCCATCCAAAAATGTCGACTCAACTTGTCTTCTCTGTGATGGTCCTAACTTCCCTCACACACGTACAATATGTTCGATGAGACTCATCAACCAAACCAGACGTGCCAGATTACGCAGCCACAGTCATACCTTTCCTTGGGTGGTTAAACGCTAATGACCCTAGACTTGGGTCATTAAGCCTTGATGACCAGAACCTCACTTTAGCCTTTTGGGCTATGATTTAGGACCGGTATTGCATAATGACGTCAAGACACCTACACGCACACTCACAGGTACTCAGATAAAAGTAGCAAAAGAATATGATATGGCAAAATGCCTGGCCTTCCATGAAATTCACATCTGCCATGTGACCACTCGTGGCAATGTGGTCGAGTACTACTACGGTTCGACTCCCGCTGGGGGTGTTGATAAGACGAATGCGAGATTGAGACTGCAGTTTGCCTTGGATAAAAACAACTTTTGGAAAAGCAAGGCAATGTGAAATGCAATGGAAACGTCAGCTCTAATTATATCATTGTGGGAAAATTCTACTACCAGTCCTTCATCACCCTAAACGAAATTGGGCGAATACGGATTTACTGGTAGTCTCGAAACTCTAATGAAACACGAAAAAAAGTCGCAGGACCAATACGAAAGATAATTAATCAAATCATTCTATATCTATCTCGGTTTTTTATTTTCTTTTGCTTAATAGAGTGTATATACGAGGTAGGATAGAGCCGGATAGTCATCTTGCCCTAGTGTTAACGTGAGACTTTTACAAGAATGGGTTCCAGCCCTGATGATATCCATTAAATGATGGACGAAAGCTCAGCTCGTTTTTACTCTAAACGAGAGAGGTTGTCTGGTGGACTGTGTCAATCTGAACGTCGTATTGAAGCCCAACGACTGCAGTACAGCGGAATTCAGCCGTCCTCTCCTGGGGAGATCGGCCTACAATTCTCTTCTTCATGCACTTTCATGCAAAATGAAAGTCTCTCCCAACAATATTAAAGTTTACTTTAATACCTAAATTATAAATCCTTACTTTTTATTAATCATGCATACATATCACTCCTGGGCCCAGAAAATTTCTTGAAATTTGTAAAGCTAAAATAATGCATCCAAACGCTCGAGCATTTATTTTATATTTATCACAGGTTCAGTGTTTGCTAGCAAATAAAACAAATCTAGATTATGAAGCCAAAATTACTAGTTCTTGAAAATGTAATACATAATAAACAGCATTTCAGCCCTTGGAGTACAACTTTCTATTCCTGATTAAATAGTTAAATTAAAGCTGAGTAAATGAACTGGGAGCTCAAGTTCTAATAAATTTCTCCTATCTTGCATTCTGATAAACGAAGAAGCTACTAATAAGTGGATTTATTGATAATTTTATTTTGAACGTTAGATTAAATGAGTAATAATTGTTTAATATTTAAAACTCAGATAATATGGAACATTTTCCTATGTTTAAAAAGGATTTCTGGATATTTATTGTGCTTTACGGCATCAACAACAATGTCATAAAAAGTTAAATTTGGCAACTCTAAGGATGATTAATAAAATTGATTATGGACAATTATAATTTTTCTCCCGATAAGGTTTGCCTTAACCCCTTCACACCGACTGTCTGTATTTAGGCCTGAATATAGTTATCACTGGCTTCACTAAATGGCTTTAATTCTTCGGTCGACACTAAAGACGATTATTATGTTAAATTCTCTAGCGGCACTTATTATTATATTTGTTTAGTGTGTACGAAGAAAAAGTGAGTTTCATTGAATCTCCTGAGTTAGTCTTGTTGTGAAGACCTCCGTTTTGTACGAAAGTGCATGATGAATAGAGTCGTAAGTCGATTACACAAGAAAACGACGACCGATCCTCGTGGTACTGAAGCCGGCTGGCTTTAATACGACGTTCAGATAGACGCAGTCCACGATACATTCTCCTTCGTTTCGGACGATACCGAGCAGAGCTTTCTTTCGTAATATGACGAACATCATCAAAGCTGGGTCTCATTCTAGTGAAAGTCTAAAGTTTACACCAAGTCAAGAAGACTGAA